ATCTGGAATGATTATGAGTGAGAAAAACAAATAATTGTTATAGTCCAGCATCTATCAAGGATGCTGTGTGGCACTGGGATATAGCAGGTCATGGCTCATATGATAACAGCAGCAGGATACAATGCATAAAGCCCCTGCACAACAGAAGAAGAGCCTATTGTTCAAATGGTAAGGTCCAAGATTTTGAGACATATCCAGAAAGAAAGATAGTCTCCATAGAAGCTTGTAACAGCAAGACAAACAGCGTGATCAAACAACCGTAGTAGCTCGCACTTTAGATACCTGAAGAAGGAGGACCACTCAGAGGAGCTTGAGGCTAGTGAGTGTGAGGTGGGCTGCGACTGGAAGCCTGGGAGGTATGGGAGGCGGTCAGCGAGGAGGACTTGGGGTCTGTTGTTGAGTCTGGAATAACTATGGAATGTTGCAGCTTAGCTGGTTCCCCAAGTCCCTAGATGAATGGGACCAGGAAGCCGATGAATTGTGGAATAGTGAGTGATAATAAATCTCCCGTAGAGCAGAAACAAGTGCTCTGGCTGTAGGCGGTTAGCCATTTTGGTCCGAGGTCAAACCATGCCCAGGCATTCAATTTTAATGGCTGGTAATGGTACAAAGTCTGAAACAGAAATGTTGGCACTATGGTCCCCAAGTTATGTAATAAACTTAGTAACAGTAAAGTGGCGAGTGGGCAAACCAGATGTGATTATTGCACCACATCTCTTAAAATTGCAAATATCCAATAGAGAAGATGGGACTTTCAGGGTGCATCAACATGAATACCAAACATTAAAAAGTTATATAATTTTTATTTAATATTTAAAAAAAAAACAACAAAAAAAGGGACAAAATACAGAAACATAAAAACAATTTCAGTAATAAAAGTGAAACTGAGGTTCAACCTTGAATATATCATTGTAGTTACTCCCTACATGTTTCGCCCTCACGGGCTTCTTCAGGGAAAGTTTTTGAAGAGATTTCAACCGCCAAGGCAGTCTAAAGGTATATCAAAGGAAAATTCTACAATTACCAAACAACTTTAATATATCCAATGCAAAGTATTTAATCAAATATATATATGGGACTCAATGGCTCAGCCTGGATGTGAAAGCTCACAGAGCTAAGAGGAAATAACCTAACAAAGATCTTATTTGGCCTACACATCCAAAACAGTTGTAGAGGATATAATGGGCATCAAATATTAGCTAGGCATAATAGGATGGACAAAACAAATTAATTAAATTTAACAGAAGATATGAGGAAGAGGTCATAATTCATTAGGTTGAGGTTATCTTTGGGAAATTTTACCTGTTAAATGTTTTAGAAGGATATATAGGTATAACCTAACAAGGATCTAATTGACCAATACGTCCACAACCAAAGGAGAGGAAACAATGGACATCAAACATCGATCGAGACATAATAGGATAGAAAGAGAGATCAGAAACTAATTTCATTTCAAAGAAGAGGTCAAAAGGTGTTGAGTAATAAAAATTAACTTAAAAGGTTATTTCCTCTTAGCTCTGTGAGCTTTCACATCCAGGCTGAGCCATTGAGCCCCATATATATACATTTGATTAAATACTTTGTATTGGATATATTAAAGTTGTTTGGTAATTGTAGAATTTTCCTTTGATATACCTTTAGACTGCCTCGGCGGTTGAAATCTCTTCAAAAACCTCCCCTGAAGAAGCCCGTGAGGGCGAAACATGTAGAAAGTAACTACAATTATATAATCAAGTTTGAATCTCAGTTTCACTTTTAGTACTGAAATTGTTTTTATGTTTTTGTATTTTTTCCTTTTTTTGTTGTTTTTTTTTTAAAAATACGAAATAAAAATTATATAATTTCTTAATATGTTTAGTATTCATGTTCATGCACCCTGAAAGTCCCATCTTCTCTACTGAATATTTGCAATTTTAAGGGATGTGGTGCAATAGTCATATCTGATCGCCCCGCTCGCCACTTTACTTAAGAAGCCCGTGAGGGCGAAACATGTAGGGAGTAACTACAATTATATAATCAAGTTTGAACCTCAGTTTCACTTTTAGTACTGCAATTGTTTTTATGTTTCTTTTTTTTTTTCTTTTTAAAAAAATACAAAATAGAAATTATATAACTTTTAATATGTTTGATATTCATGTTCATGTTCATACACCCTGAAAGTCCAATCTTCTCTATTGAACATATATAATAAACTTGTGAATGTCTCAAATGACTCGCGTGTTTGTTACTCTAAGATATATTTTATGGGTATACAGCCTGTAAAATATGTGTTATGATTTGGAATAAAATGAATTTACAACAAGAAATACCCAGTTGTTTTGAGTATCTCCCTAATTGGGCCTCTGAAGATGTTAAGGTAATAATAAAATTATCAGAAGATTTCAGGAGGATGTATTTGTTCATTATATAAATGGATCATCCTAACAGTACATGGCATTATAATTCAAAATTTGCTTCATGAAACAGTGACAAGACATAGACCATAATTTTGTGTTGGACAAGAAGGTAAAGATGAGGTTTACTTTGTATTTTCTTTTAGTATGGCATTTAAAAATAAAGGTACAGTATGTGTTATATTATCAATTTCATTGCTTTCAATGTTATTTTTTGGGGGTACATTGGCTTATAAATTGTTAATAAATATCACGCTGAGCAATTGGTTCTAGGATTTGTTTTTGGTAATCATTTTTTGGCTTTTAGATTTGTTTTGAGAATTCTCACTTAGTTTTTACCTTGTTATCCTGAGAATAACACTCCTGTCCCTGGGTGGCTAAGCTCACTCTTGTTAGGCGGTGCCATAGTTGACATCCATGATGGGCTTCAAACGTGTGTCTGTGTTTACTGTATCTCCATGACACGTCTTATTATTATTATTATACAGTATTTATAAAGCGCCAATAGTTCGCTCAGCGCTGTACATTACAAAGGGGGACAGAACATGTGACAGAACAATACCAATACAATGCAAAACATGAGGGGATCGAGGGCCCTGCTCTTTGGAGCTTTCAATCTAGGAGGGAGGGGATGGTGGCACAGGAGGAGATAGCTGTCTTATAGGGAGATTAGCAACTTTCAGAGGGAAAAGAAGATTTTCTGAAGCTTCTAGTTCAGTTTACAGGACACTTTGGGGTTTATTTACTAAAGCTGGAGAGTCCAAAATCAGACTCCCTTCTGCATAGAAACCAATCAGCTTCCAGGTTTCATTGCCAAAGCTTCATTGAACAAGCTGAGGTTAGAAGCTGATTGGTTTCTATGCAGAAGGGAGTCTGATTTTGGACTCTTCAGCTTTAGTAAATAAACCCCTTTATTTCCAGAAAGATCAGCAGGTATTTTCTGTACAATTACAGTATCACTGTAGACCACTCTAGACCAGTCCATTCTTGCCTCCTTTTGAAAAAAAAAAAAAGGTTTTCTTTTTTTACTTGCTGAAAATCTTCTTAGACTTAGAAGAACTAAGGGTAAAAATTGGCGCTCTATCCAGTAATTATATGTATACCCCTTCTGGTAGTTAAAAAAATATTATAGCCCCACTGTGGGCTAAAACTATTTTCATTTGTACCACCTCCCTCTAACCCATTGTATTAGGTAAGTTTCCACCTTACATTGTGAAGCCAAATATATTCACCCAAACACCCCTTCCACCACCGGTGGTTCCAGCTGTGGTGACTGCTGATTCAGTGCTGAGATTCCCAACTGAGAGCATGGCCCCCTGTGATGACATCCTTCTTTTCAGAATCCTGAGAAGGACTCTACCGCTGGACATCTGTTTCTAAAGTGTCCACATCATGCATTCACTCACATAAATATCCAAAGAAGGACCTTTATATTGACCACCATTTATGATATTAAAGGTCCTTTTTTTTTTTTTTTTTAAATACCAAACATGTTACATTCACCTGCTCTGTGCAGTGGTTTTGCACAGAGAAAACCTGATCCTCCCCTTCTCAGGTCCCCCTCCAGCACACCTGGCTCTCTCCTCCCTGACCAGTGCCCCCAATAGCAAGCCACTTGCAATGGGGGAAATCATGCATGCTTGCTCCCAAGCCCTGCTCTATGCATCCATGAGATACACAGAGTTGCGGCTCTGCCCTGATCCCGCTCTCTCCTCACTGGATGTGATTGACAATCATGGGAGCCTGCTGCTGTGTCTCAGCCAATGATGATGAGAGAGAGACCCAGGAGAGCTGAGGTAAGTATTGGGTTGAGCAGCACACAGAAGATTTTTTTAACTTCATGCATAAAATTTAAATGAAAAAAAAACTCTTCAGACTTTACAACCATTTTAAGATAGCTAAAAATAGCATTTTAATAGGGAATATATTTTCTTTCCAGTGATCAGTGAGAGGGAAGTAGGAGAGAGAGGTGAGGTAGGGCAAACAAAACGAACCAGGAGTTGGACTTTGAATGTCTAATCATTTCCAGGGTTTAAAGTGTTATTAAACCCAGGACCCTGCATTCACTTCATCCAGCCTCCACAGACCCTGCATTCACTTCATCTGGTCTCCCCGGACCCTGCATTCACTTCATCTGGTCTCCCCAGACCCTGCATTCACTTCATCTGGTCTCCCCAGACCCTGCATTCACTATATCCGGTCTCCCCGGACCCTGCATTCACTATATCTGGTCTCCACAGACCCTGCATTCACTATATCTGGTCTCCCCGGACCCTGCATTCACTATATCCGGTCTCCCTGGACCCCGCATTCACTATATCTGGTCTCCACAGACCCTGCATTCACTATATCTGGTCTCCCCGGACCCTTCATTCACTATATCTGGTCTCCCCGGACCCTGCATTCACTATATCCTCTCTCACCGGACCCTGCATTCACTATATCTGGTCTCCACAGACCCTGCATTCACTATATCTTGTTTCCTCGGAAACCGCATTCACTATATCCGCTTTCCCCGGACCCTGCATTCACCATGTCTGGTCTCCCTGGACCCTGCATTCACTATATCTTGTCTCCCCGGACCCTGCATTCACTATATCTGGTCTCCCCGGACCCTGCATTCACTATATCCGCTCTCCCCGGACCCTGCATTCACTATATCCGCTCTCCCCGGACCCTGCATTCACTATATCTGCTCTCCCCGGACCCTGCATTCACTATATCCCATCTCCCCGGCCCTGCATTCACTATATCCGCTCTCCCCGGACCCCGCATTCACTATATCCGGTCTCCCCGGACCCTGCATTCACTATATCCGCTCTCCCCGGACCCTGCATTCACTATATCCGCTCTCCCCGGACCCTGCATTCACTATATCTGCTCTCCCCGGACCCTGCATTCACTATATCCCATCTCCCCGGCCCTGCATTCACTATATCCGCTCTCCCTGGACCCTGCATTCACTATATCCGCTCTCCCTGGATCCTGCATTCACTATATCCGCTCTCCCCTGACCCTACATTCACTATATCTGGTCTCTCGTGGTACACAGAACATGGAAATGCAATTATGTTAGTAAATATAAACTGCTAAATACCTTTTCTCATTAGCTATATATAGCAGTTATGTGACTTCTATCAGTGCTCTGCTGAGCACTGGTTAAGCTTGTAGGAGGAGCTTTCTTTCTCTAGGAGGATGCAGAACCCCTGTCCTTTGTCTGGACAGTGCTGATTGGTCCTGTGCTGATCACATTCACTCCCCCCCCCCCAAAAAAAAAAAAAAAAAAACCTCTCTAGCAATACACCAAACTGAGCATGTGCAGAGTGTCTCCACACAATATGTCTTATCTGGAGATAAGAGGGGGACACTGGAAGAAGGGGAGGATCAGAGAATTCAGGATCAAACAGCCTTTTTACACAATGAGGAGGATTAACCCCTTAGGTTCCACAGTGAGTATAACAAGCATGCTTTACTGCATCTACAGACTGATTTTACTGTTGTGGGTTTAGTAACACTTTATAGTTCCTCAGTCCAGGCTGTGAATGTGGAATGAGCAAACGGGTAATACAGACATTTTTTCTTTAATAAAGCAGTCTAGTTTTTAAATGATTTATGTAGTAAACATACTACGATAAACGCTACAAAATTTCCACAAATAAAAATACCAAATTTAAGCCCACACCACCTATTTGTGCGCAGAAAATCGAAGGACATATGTAACAATCATTTTAATGCAGGCTAGGAGATCCTCCCTGAGCAACATAAAGACCTCCTGTAAGTGTTCCAGACAACTCTAGTTACCCTAAGGGCTCATTTACACAGGGTTATGGTAGCCCTCTAAAGAGCAATCTGCCATGGATCACTTTTCAGAGGGCATTTGGCAGACAGTAAGTAGGTGTATATACTCCCAATTGGCTGCCTTTACAGCTAAGGGGGGTGGCTGAAGGTTGGGAAAAATTTACTCCACTGCCTGTTTTTACTGCCCCCCAATCAAAAGAGTAAACTAAACCCAAACATTATTTTCACATGGGCAGGTTGTGTTCTGATCGGCAGGAGATCCGCTGCTGATTGGAATGGAGTGGGGCTAATGATAGGTCCATGTCTTCTCAGTTTCTGCAGAGTGGACATAGACAGACCATGCTCTGTTCTGTGGGAGGCCAGGAGTAAACAGTCTCCATTGTCCATTTACACCTGGCTGCTTCCTCCTATTTTTTTAGAGGGTTTGATTGGACCCGGAGGTAGGCCAGTGTAAACGGAAACAAGTCCTTTTATACCCATCAGTCCCTAGGAATGCACGGTCATCCGATCAGGTCCACCTGAAAAACTGACAGGTGGACCTGATTGGATTGAACAAATGACTCTTTTTTTCTTTTTTATCCCTAAATTATCCCTTTTTAAATAAATCTACATAAATAAAGAAAAACGTAAACCTACAACACAACTGTGCAATAGCATTCAAAAATAAATAAAAATTACAAAACGTTAAAATAAAATAATAAAATAAAATAAAATAGTGTCCCAAAATGTCTCAAACAATTCCGACCACTTTCTCTCCGCCTTTACAACTTCTTCTTGTGATATTGTATACGAAACACCAAATATAATTGTATGTAATTAAGATAATGCACTATTTGTGGTTTATGTTTTTTTGAGGTTTTTCTACGTTGGAGTATTATATTTGGAGTTTGGTATACAATATCACAAGAAGAAGTTGTAAAGGCGGAGAGAAAGTGGTCGGAATTGTTTGAGAGACGTTTTGGGACACTATTTTATTTTATTTTAACGTTTTGTAATTTTTATATTTATATTTGAATGCTATTGCACAGTTGTGTTGTAGGTTTACGTTTTTCTTTATTTATGTAGATTTATTTAAAAAGGGATAATTTAGGGATAAAAAAGAAAAAAAGAGTCATTTGTTCATTATATCACTTTCAAGGGTGAAAGTTTTTGTTTTTTATTTTTCTTCATTGTAGCTATTTATATCTTGGGAGTGTTTACAATAGTGAGACCTGATTGGATTGCTCATGTGCATGGACCCAGAACAGGGGCGGACTGACCGTTCGAGCACTCGGGCACTGCCCGAGGGCCTGGGGTCAGTAGGGGACCCCATGAAATGCCCCTGGTACATTTCATAGGCTTTTTTTTGGGTGTTCTTTGAGTGTGGGAAAGGACACAGGGGCCCATTGATCCCCTATTGTCTGGGGGCCCCATGAGTTGTCAGTCCACCCCTGACCCAAAACACATTTTTCTAGCTTTACATTCACTTGTGAGTCTTTCATTAGTATTGAGTAACTGCCTTAACTGTTTCATGATCAAATAGCTACCAAAGATATATTTTATTTATTTCCAATTTTTTTTTGTTTTCAAGGCAATGTATAAAAACAACCAGACCATCGTTACTGAAGTCATCCTCTTGGGATTCCAAAGTTCCAGAGAAACGAGCATTGTTCTTTTTATTCTTCTCCTCATAGTTTACATTTCGACACTTTTTGGAAACCTCTTGATCATCACACTGGTCTACTACAATAAAACCCTCCACACTCCGATGTACTTCTTCCTCATCCAGCTCTCGTTATCTGATATTCTGCTAACCACAGATATTGCCCCAAACTTGCTTCACATGTTACTTCGCGAGAGTGGAAAAATCTCTTTCATTGGCTGCATTTTCCAGCAATATATTTTTGATGTGATGGAATGTACTGAATGTCTTCTTCTGACAGTGATGTCCTATGACCGATATTTGGCCATCTGTAACCCTTTGCATTACACTTCTATAATGAATGAGTTATTTTGCATCAAACTTATCATCTTTACTTGGTTGTTGAGCATCGCTTCCATGATGATTAGCTCAATTACAATAGCTTACCTTGATTTTTGTGAGCCGATTATAATTGACCATTTTTTTTGTGATGTCTCACCGGTGCTAAAACTTTCTTGTTCGTATACTTTCTTAGCTAAATTGGCTCAATTTGAAATATTATTGTATAGCGTACCTTTTATTTTATTACCATTCTTAACTATTATGATATCATATGGTTATATTATTTTTAGAATCTTGAAAATCCCATCCAACACTGGAAAACAAAAGGCGTTTTCCACCTGCAGCTCTCACTTGACGGTGGTTTGTATATTTTATGGAACACTAATTGTTATTTATGTCCTGCCAACAAGTGGACAGTCATTGACTATACGCAAATTAGTATCGCTGATCTATACAGTGGGGACACCACTGATGAATCCAATCATATACAGCTTGAGGAACAGAGATATAAAGATGGCTTTTGCTAAGTTAAGAAGCGGTTTTGGTCATGTTTAACAGGCAGTTGGGTTAAGGAGATACCATATATTGGCTAACTAAATAGATCTTATTGAGGTTCTTCAAGCAATACAAAGTTATAGACTGGGGCAGTGACCACCTTTTTGTATTGTTGCATTGTAGGTGAATGGGTGCACTGGACACCCTGGCTGCCATTGCACTCTGCTGGGTGTCCAGTGCACTCCCGTGTCTTTAACCTCTTCACGCCAGGCGCACACAAATGTGCGGCCTCCCGGCATCTGGCCCTAGACTCCAAGCGGCCGCACATTTGCGTGCAATTAACAAAAAACATATGTGCTGAGAGCGCGCACCCTGCACACATGTCCAGTACTCAAGGAAAGGTCCCGGTCTGCTCTTTTGATCAGGACCTTTCCCGATCATGTGACCGCCGTGACAACTCATCACAGCGGTCACATGATCCCTAAACCCCGCCCGACCTGCCTCCAGCTTCTGAAACTCTTAAAGGGCCAGGAGGCGCCGGCAGGAAGGGGTTAAGGAGGGGTGGACTCCCTCAGGTTCACCTGCCCTTGATCTATACATTAAATGCATGTGCCTCTACTATGAGGGCTCTCAAAATTTGTAGAGTTAGGACCACAGAATATCAGGGTGCCATGACGTGGCTCTGTGGCTTATGTATGTATTTGCAAATGTGTGCTAACTAAACCCCTGTTTTTAAATGCACATTGTTACACAGGTTAATTTGGTTGTTGGTTAGCTGGCTGGTAAGTTGAACTGGGTATTTTCTTTCCTTTTCTTCAAGCAATACCTGAGGGCTAACATGGTACAACACTGCTGCTGATGACCATGGACTTTATACTTCATACAACTTTGATTGGCAGTAAAGCTGACAGTCTTTGGGTCTAATTTACAAAAACTCTTTTTGAATAGACCAGCACATTTTTAGTATGTGGGCAACCAATGCTTGTAAGATGCAGATGTATGCATGCATTGTATACAGTGTACGTGTATGTATAATACGTATGTATCAGGGGCGGACTGACCATTTGGAAACTCGGGCACTGCCCGAGGGCCCGGGGTCAGTAGGGGGCCCCATGAGATGCCCCTGGTACCTTTTTCATAGGCTTTTTTGAGTTTGGGCAAGGACACAGGGGCCCCATGATCCCCCTATTGCCTGAGGGCCCCATGAGTTGTCAGTCTGCCCCTGGTACGTATAGTGAAGAGAAATGGATTAAGTGGCAAAAATTTGATAATTCCTGAGTTAGGTGGATTCATCTAAAGGTTCCACAAAATCAAACGTCGCACTGCATTGCATTAAAGTCAAAGAGGTGAATTTTGATGGTGAGTGGTGACCCTTGGAGAACTGCTACACAAGTTAAGGGCGTGAGAGAACTGGCACAGCTGTTGGGTACCTATGCAAATTGAAGACAAATATTTGCTTTTTGTCTTCCTGCATTGTTACTGTTCTTTCTGCCTAGAAACTGAAAAGCGTCCCTTTAGGTCAGACGCGGTTTTAGACCGGCTAGAGAACAGCGATAGTAAATCAGAACCACTTGCAGAATTGAGTGATAATGATTCGTGGGGGAAATTCCTCATCAGACACTGAAAACGATTCTGCGACTGAGCTCAGCGATGTGAGAACTTGGCGCTCTATTTCACATCTCAGTGTTTTTGGTTTGATTACATTATTGAATTTCAGTGAGTTATTCCTAAAAATTACAGGTCT